CCAGCGTTCTAACCGCTAGCCCACCTCATCTTATTATTATTTAGTGTTCTGTCTGACGACATGTCCATATGAACAGGATCCTTCCATCTTTTTCTCGGACTGGGACCTGTTCATATAAGTTCTTGGCAGATGATCGAGAAGTGGTTTGCCATTGCCTTCTTCTGTGTGTGTGAATGGAGTAATTGTTGGGATGCCACGGAGGAAAACTCCGTGTTGCCTAGACCACGGCCTTGCCCAACACAAGTTATAAATTCGGGCACCGCCGGGAATCGAACCCGAGATCCCAGGATTACAAGGCCAGCGTTCTAACCGCTAGACCACCGTGGCACGGTATATAATCATATACGAAACAATTATTTCACGAAATGAAATGTGGTATTTATAGGGTGGTTAAAAAGGGATTGTTTCCCTAGGTGACGCCTTGGAGCTGTGTACATAATGACCAATGTCTTAGAGATACACATCTACTCAATCTTCAGATTAGAAGTGAATGCTGGTGACCACCTACAACGCTACAGACGATAATAATGTTCTTTACGTAAGTTCTAGAAGCCCCAGTCTGTGTCTACATTAACATCACAGGTAAAATTTCGAAATAATTCGAGAGAAGACGACGATGAGAGAGTATTTTGCACAGACGGCGTTGCTGTTCGTCGCATAGCGTCCAACAAAGAATATATAAAAGCAGGAGTTCCGTCAGCGAAGGCCGCCAGGGATCGGCTATTTTAAAACCGTGTTGCGAGCTGAACCATAGCGTAAATACAATTTTCATGCCATTGACGTCAGCAGGGCAGACACTGGCCTCCTGCAGCGAGAAAACACATTCCGAAAGCCTCTACCGTAATTCACAAAACTGCGTGCAGATGGCAGTATTGGACCAGCATCAGTCTGTAATTCAGTCAGCGCAGGAAGCACTTCCTACGAGCAGAATTTGTCAGTCATTCTTACATCCCTTCACAGAGTCAAACGTGGACATTTTTTTTCTGATTGAACTGTTAAGCATGTTATTAAAATGTTCTTCGACATATGTAATTGATCCATAGTTATTAACTTCGTTAAGAAATTTCCAAGTTCTTACCAACAAAGTAATTTAATCTTTTTTTTTAAACTTATAAAAATCATAAGAATTAAATTACTAGTTTGAACTTCATTTACAAAAAGAATTCCTAATTATTAACAAACATGTAGAATTTTTAAAGTAATTTCCTAACTTCATCGTACAGATTCTTTATAATCCATTTCTCTAATTAATTTCACAAATGAACTCTTCTCTTGTGGTTCTCTAATCATAATTCCGTATGAATTTCTTTTTTGTTATAATCGAAAAAAGTAATTTCATAAAACCTACTTCTTTCCGATTAACTAAGTCTAAGAAAGTCGATGTCTCGCATACTTGTATGCTATCTTCACCTGCATTGGTGCATCTCGTAAAAGAACGATGCTGTGCCGACCGAGTAATGGCGGTATAACTGTTTGTGTAATAAATGTCAGTGCCACTGTTGACAATGTTGGCTAACGTTTTTAATTGCTGGTTTGGTTTGTTACGTACGTTGGCAATACTGAATAACTTGTCCAGTTGAGTCGAATTGAATCGATTATCGATTTATGCAGTGGTTGACCAATCGAACTTCATTAACCTACATGTTGCTTATTTATTTCATCAAATATTACGAGACGTAGTATTGGCTTTTCATTTTATATCTCCGGTAAGCAAAATACTGTGTACAAGGCGTAGAACACAATGTGTCGGTTCGAAATTAAATCATTGGTGTTTTATTGTAGGTCAAAGTGGATTTTCCGTCCTCTTCATATAGCGTATTCATATATCAATACAAACAGCTGATAAATAAATAAAACAAAAGCCTGGACTTTAACCTTGAATTTGTCGTCTGCGCACATTGAATGTCACTCCAAAGCAACAGATGGCCTGAACGCCAAAGTAACTTTACGAAACACATAAAAGTACAATTTTCTTAAATACGCACAGAGCATATTTTCAGGGATGCCACTTCATACTGACTCAGTATATCAAAATATTCTTCAATTTTTTTGGTAGCATAATATATACTCGAAAGCAGAGTGAAAAACTAGGAGCTTATCACTTACACAAAAGTTACGGAGTCATTCCACTTTATTAGGAGAGGAAAAAGTTGTTAATCATCATAATTGTGTAATGTAAATTAAAGCAGTAAGTAATGTTTAAAAGGTAATTATATTTTAAAAGTACAATTTTCATCACAATTCATATGCAAGTATGACAATATATAATACAAATAAAGGAAATGTACAGTGTAAGACTGAATTTAATTAGGTACTTAGCAATTTAAGAATCAGTGAACTGCTAAAATAATCTAATATTGACACGAACCTACGTAGAATTCAGAGATGGCCGTCTTCTGGGCTGTTCTACCACACGGTCTGACGCTACTACCTCTAGTACAGTATTTTTTAGCGGAATTGGCGGCCGAGTCGAGCTCTGCTCTTTGCGAGTGACCAATCAGCGCAAAGAAGGTCTGTTGGTAAGCAGGGAGACCTCAGTCTGTTCAGAAACCCCGTGGTAGAAGCATCGGCAGCCGTGCCGCGTTGTTGCCATTTCGTACACTGGAATCAAATGTTCCGTGATGCTACATCTGGCACCACTGTATGTTGTTTCCTCACTATCTCGCCCCTCCACAACTTCCTACCATGGCACAGTACACGTGATCGGTGCACGCTTCAGCCACCAATTCGGCTGAAAACTGTCATAGAGTCCTCACCCTGTTCACCGATGGTCTGATCGAGGTTCTGCCTTACTAACCAGTTCCCATAGCTCAAGCCGATTCACACGTGCTGCTTACTCGTCACCCTGATGGAGGCAGATTAAAATTAAATCCGTGGCATAACAGCTCCAGAGAGCCAAAGCCGACTAGCTGGCTGCTGGCCTCACGTTCACATGCCTAAGCAGTGAACGATCATCCAACCAGATACAGGAAGACGTGTGGTCAGCACGACGAACCCCCAGCCATTGCTAGTTTTCCTGACCGGATTACGCTACTCATTGTAACTCCTCAATTTCCTCACGATGCTGGGTTGGCACCGGTCCCATACACCGGTCGAAAGCTATGAGAAAATTTCTTCTCCCCCGAGACTCGAACCAGTGCGGCCAAGGCGCAGGACGATGGAGGCAGACAGCACCTCTGAAATGTCAGTAAAATTCTACCAGACTACGCGGCACAACAACCCATAAGACAGCCATCTTCATTCTCACTGTCGTTAGAACCTAAAATTAGAACCTAAAATTTTACAATACAGTATTCCGTGCCAGTTGACATCCCTAACATTTCCTACGAGACAACAGCACAGATATTAAGTCAGTTTTCAACTAGTTACAAAAACAACTAAAAAAATAATGGCCAATATAAACTTCTATCAGTACCGTCATTCTATCCCATGTAACATAACTATATTTTTACTTGGACAACATCACTGCGAGTGAAAAATGTAACTTCAAAGAAAGTGACGCAACCCACGCTTTGTTACAACCAACATATTTGAGGACAATTGCAATATTTAATAAACCAACAGGATTGCATACAATAGTATACATAGTAGCATCTGATCTAGCTATCCTAGTAGTAAAAATACTGTTTCCCCTCATAAATAAATGTTAACATGTTTAAAATTTAGTCAAAATTAAAATACTAATGAAAAATTGAGATTATATCTTATGGTACCATAACAGTTAATCCTAGTAATTGCATTATTTAAAATCTATATTATTCATGACTAACCCCACAGATTATATTAGCTGTACATAACAATTAATTGCCTAACTAGGCATAAATAAATAGTAGATTAATAAATTATAAGTACAGATTACAAAAAAAATGTACATTCAGTATTATAAAAAGACAAATACTGGCAGCTTTGAACTGGCTTCGGCTGAATCACAACAAAGCTTCCACAATATTTGTAACAATTATAACGTTAATAATGCCGTTGCATACACATACATACAAACACACACATATTCATCAACAGATCTCTCCCTCGCAAACACAATATAAAACACGGGACATTTGGACAACGATTTGGCAATAGAAACTTCCACAACTTTGGTACTTTTCTATCTATTATGGGGACGGCTGTTCCACTCCGCATGGCTCGGACACTAGCTTACACGATCGCTCTTTCGAAGATGGACAAATGGAATGGAACAGTGGGGAAGATACAAGATTAAACATGGTGTCTGCCCACAACGGTTGTTACTACCACCAATGGACCAACAACGCTGACATCAAGGTCATAAGTCAGTGATAAGCAGACCATTAATGATCTAACAGTTGATAGATAATCATTGTGAAATAACGACACACCCAGTGCAGACGCTGCAGTTAGTTGTATTAGCACACACACAACCACGAGGGTCCAAGAGACTAAAATATACAAAAATTTATATTTGATCTTAAGGGCATCGTAAAAGTATCAGGAGCATTTTCATAAATATGCTAAAGAGCTAGTAGGCCAATCCCATATATAACATAAACAAAGACTAGCATTTCTCATAGTCTCATACATGAATCTTACTTCCCAAGTGTCAGTACATTTTGAAGAGAATAAAAAGGCTTCATCCTCCTTATTTCTAGAAAATACAATCAATTAGCTGCCAAGATAATGTACAATTCAGCTGCCAAAAAACATTAAAATGCATTGTGGGAGGAAAAGAAATCAAGAACTATTTTGCTTTTAAAATCAACTTGCTTTGTTCAAACAGCAGGATACGTACACTGTTCTGGACTGAACAGTTACTAATATAACTTAATGGACCCCATATGTAAGGCTCCTCAAGCATTTACGCTACTATGTGCAAGAACGAGAATGGCGAGACTGACTTCATAGCATTCAGACTATGGTCGTAAGGAGAGCCAAGATGCAGGTGAAATGCCTCCCCCGTGGCTACAAGTAATCTCTACCCATATGAGAACGGCCTGGCTGAGGAAATCTAGTCTTGGCACCTCGACCGCCTGCGCCTGACGCGTGCCGTCGGGCATTGCGCATCTCCCTGTCAACTTCCAGCTCTTCTAAACGCTGTGTCAGACTTAGTTTCTGCTGGACTGCGAGACGCAACAGCTGATTAAGAGTTTTCCTTTCTTCTTCGGCTGCACCCAGCTGACGCTGAAGTTCATCAACCTGATTAACATATTCCTCACAGCGGGTAGCGAACATGGCACGCAAACCTACAAGTTAAAAAATCAGTAATGAGGTAATGAGTATTGGAATTTAAAAATTAAACTGTGAAACTGAGAATTATCAAAGACCATGATTCAACACAAAGTAATAGTAAAACCTTGTTAATTCAAGTACTTGGAGCTGAAAATTCTAGCTTCAAATTATAAGTTTTTTCACTGTGGATGTACCTGTGGTGTTGAGTTGAAGTACCGAAGTAACGGTGTGACATAACACTAATTACTGAGTAAAACAAGCCAAAAACATTTTTATTACAACCACAAAACACAAATGCAAGCCTGTAAAGAATTCACTCTTCTTCTTCTGTGGCTCTCCAGTCTGAATTCGGTCCACGGCCTCCTCAATTCTCCTCTTCCATTCGGTCCTCTGTTAGGTCCGTCTGTCCGAGGCTTTGATCGAGGTTTCGAAACATCTTCCTTTTTACGGTGCAAGGTTGTTAGCCTTGCGACCAACCCCCAACCTGGAGGACCAGGGTACCTGTCTTAGTCTGACCTCTCCCCCTACCAGTAGCTATGCTACCGCCAGCATAACTCTTGCGGTCACTGAGATACCCAAGTCCCACCACCACGACAAGGTGCAGGTAAAAGGATTCACTCTTAAATTACAATTCAACCAGCAGCATCTTCAATGCCCACTTCGTAATACCTACTGAATGTACATCTCTTTCTATTTCTTGCAATAAGATGTCCACAATCAAAGACCAAACTGTGTTCCACTTTCTCTTCTCCCCTCCAGTAGCCAAATCTCGTAGCCAATGATCACTCTTCCATGTGCATTTAAGGTCAATTACACTTTCAAAATTCTCAAAAGTTTAAACAAACATTTAGGGCTGGGAAACAATACTTTGAATTAACCAATCTCAAATTAATTAGGTTTTGCTGTATGCTTATGCACCTCACCACAAAGGAATATAAGCAGAAGCGAGTTAAGTCTCTCACACTCTTAACGTCAGCTTTACGCCAAACTGCAAGTTAGTCTTGCCCTCGCAGACTGAGAGTGACTGACGACTATACCTAGACCTACGAGACAAAATGTAACAGAACTGAGAAAAATACAGACTAAGGCCGATCAGACAATTTTAAAATGAATTTTGGAAATATCTCATGCAAAGACTAAAGCAGCCCATAATGTTGGGCTTTTGCGATGACAATAACAAATCTTCAAGTTCTGTAAGAGCAAATGTTTTGATCAGCTGCATGCATGACCGTACTTAGGCACAGGCACATGAGGTGCCCCAATAAAGTTAATTTTGACAAAAAGTTTAAAAAAACAACAACAAATTTTACTACATAAAATTTACAATGATAAATATCAGGGTCAGGCAAAGATACTTGAGGCCTGGGTGCAAGAAGAAATTGGGGTCCCCTTACCTATTTCGAGATAAGAAAATATTAAACCACTCCGCAATGAGTAAACCAAGTTGGTAGCCCGGCCAACGTCAAATTTTTCCTTTTGTCTTATTGTGTGCAGGTTTCTATATTTCAGTGGCAACCAATGACATTATATTATTATTTCTAATTAAAATATTAAACGTTTTGTGCTTTATCGATCGGGGCCCCGGTGCGCTGCACTCAGCGCACTCCCCCATTTGCACAGCCCTGATAAAGATGGGGTTTTTGTTACAAAAAGAGGATGTGAAATGAGGACGATGGTCAAGAAAGGCAGAAACACAGTGATGGGAGTCGATGCGCTGACCATGTGATGACCCGCCAAAGCCATATGGCTGGTCATCATACCCTCACGGACTGCTGCGACACAAGAGTTTAGTTCAGTACTGTTCTTTACATTTTGCAGTATTACAACGTTCATGTTTAAACAGATCGGTAAAAATAATTATTTTTTCTGATTTTATTTATACATGCAAGTCTCTCTGGTACCTTTAAAGGGGGCCCCGCATGAGTTTAGCGCCTCGGGCCCCTAAGTACAATCCTGGCTGCATGCAACTATCAGGATTCCGTACCATGGTGATAGTTTCCAAGATATATACACTAAATACTTACTTGAGAAAGTAGCAGCTTCTTCTTTGAGAAGCCTCAGTTCGTTACGTAGCTTCATCATGGTCTCGCTAACAACTGCTTTCTCATTTTCATACTTGGATTTGAGATTCGAGAGAACAACTTCAGCTGTATTCTTAACAGTTTTGAGCACAGTGCGCAGCGCTGTTATCTGTTCCCGCTTTGACGAGAGAAGGGACTTCAACTTTATAACATGCTCTTGAAGTTCTGAAATTTCAGCCTCTTTCAAGTCATCATTGATAACTGCAATGTTAAAGAGAAAACACGTTTATGTAGTAACAGCATCAAGTAACGTAGTTATACTTTAGAATAATGGAATCAATGTTATGTGTCAACACAGAAAATCATCTAAAATGTACAACGCACCTTCTGATATGTTTCCTCGGACACCCTTCATCTTAGAAAGTTCAATCGTATTCTCCACCGCCGTACGAAGGTGTTTAATTTGATCTAGGATTGTCTCAACAAGTTTTGCCATTGCAGCTGCATCATTCAGACTTTCAAGGTCTTTCAATGAAATGTTTGTTTTGAGGTGACTACGAAGTAATTCTAATTTGGATATTGCATAACCATCTTTATCAATATCAGGACATGATTCAGTGTCACCACCTGAAAAAAGTAGAAAATAAAAATATATCTTTCATACCAATTAAAAGTTGACTCTAGAATAAAACATTTGCATTCTTTTAAAACCAGCGAGTCCGTCCAGCCAACCAATTGGATGTTCATTCTGTCTGTCGGCAGATACATTAGAAGTCTGTACCATGAGAAGCGACATTAATGCCCTGTTCTGAAACATTTCCACAAGAGTTACCGTTCAGTTTTCAAGAATCAGTGTTTGAGCATGGTCCATGTTTTGTCTGTTCATGTGGATGGGCTCCCCCAATATATCTGCACCAACACTGGTTAGGCCAATTTTATACTTTATTATTACAAATGGTTCTGTCCACAATGGGAAGTCAATCATCAGTGGATTTCTGTCCCTTTCAGTCTTCCAGATCACAAAAACACAATACAACATGCTGCTCATACTCGGAGCAACCAACTTTATGTTGCGCTGACTTGGCACTAAAACCGAACCACAACTGCAGCGTGCCGCCATCTAACCTTGAGCTACAGTATGAACACGCTTCAGCACGTTCTGCGGTACGTTACGTTCATTTCTGATGATTACTCTCAGTCACTTTTACATGCACTCACAGTTCATCAGTTTCTTTTTGCTGAAAGACATGTCTGAGCCCAAATTCAAATGTAAGTTCAAAGTTATTGCACAGAAGTGTATTATTTTTGTATATTACACATCTTGCCTTAAGTACTAGTAATACAAATATACAATTACTGGTTAAGATGTTAAGATTTTTTTAACTTTAGAACTAATTAGAACTTGTTAAAACTGCCAGCACAGCCTGGCAAGTCCTGGTGTATTTTATCTGTAAACAGAAAGTTTCTATAGTATTTGTAGAACTGTATTACACGATACGTATGGTGTGTAATTGTAGAGTATTACCTTACCTGAGATGTGAATTTTGTATTGTACTATCATAGAAGGAAGTGCCAGGGTAGCTCAGTCAGTATAGTGACTGACTATAGATAGACAGGACGACTGGGGTTCGATCCCTGACAAGGGCAGAGAATTTTTCCTCTAGCCTCTGTGTCCAGACCAGCTCTGCGGCCCTCCTAGCCTCTTCCTATCCAATGGGTAACGGGGTACTTTCCTGGGAGTAAAGCATGGCTGGGGTGTGATGCTGACTAATTCCCCCCCCCCCAATCTAGTGCTGAGGTCAAGAATGAGTAGGAGCTATACC